TATATATCATCGGAAATGTCAAACAGTGTAGCAACACTTTTTTTTTTTTATAGTTGTATTTAAGGATCAAGGTAATCATTCTGTGACGATAAAAGTGATTGGAATTGTATATATTTGTAGTTGATAGTGCGAGAAATCATACTGACTAGTATGAATTTGATGTGATTATTAATTTTCAAAATGTTGGGCTGTCGAAGATGATTTATTTTGATTAATTAATAAATAGGTACCGCGAACGAACTTGGAATTATTCGAATATCTATATGCCATTAATTGAATACAATCTCCTGATTTTATTATTCGAATAATAATCATTGAACTGGTCCTGTTAACGATTATAATTTGAATAATTATTATTGGAGTAATATTATTAATTAAATATTGCTATTCGAGTATTAATATTTGAATATGTTGCTGACGAACGAATAATGCTGCTCATCCAACACCTTTTCATTGAAGATCTTTAATTTTAGTATGAAATGCAATTTAGATTTACCTTTGGACAAGCATCGTGAAACTGCGACTATTGTCCCTGGTTGGAAAGCAAACTTAAACCTATGGCTATTTCGCAATCAAAGTTTCGATTGGTTAGGGTAATAATGGTACGAATACCTCTACGTTTTCCATCGATAGATCGTGATGAAATTAATCTACCTCTCCTAATACAAGTGCCTGAAACTATCGGTTTCGATTGTACGTATACCAGGTGGGAGAAAAGAAATCAGAGAATAATTATTTATTCAGAATAAAATTTGCGTAATTACTCGTTAAGCATAATCGTTAAAGTAAACTTCTCCAAATATCGACAATTCATTACCCCATCGCGCATTATTAATAATAATATTAACTCGATAAGATTGCAAAAGATTGATTAATTTATACCACCGCACTCGATGCCGATTAAACAATCGTGCCAATGATGTTATCGATGCAGAAAATCGTTTCTAACTGTGGCAAGGTTAATTTCGCGACCTGTACCGACCGTCTATTCTTCGACTGATAATGAATTTAGCCATGTACTACGAGAATTACTGAACTATACCATCAAACACCGAACAATATTTTCTTTTTTTTTTTTTTAACGCAGATCCACCCTTCGAACCAGCGTGAACATAAAGTTCATTTCGTCGCATCGCGTGATCAAACCGAGTAAATTGCTAGATCACGGTGTAAAGTAACCTAATCAAGCGTTAATTGCTAGAGAGCACGCTCTTCTCGATCCCCCGACGAAACGAGTTAACCTTGGATTTCGTTGGAATTCCAGTGAAAAATCTTTTCGCAGCAAAAGTATCTCCAGTTTCGCCGAATTAAATATAAGCTACCCCGGGGCATGAAAATACCTCGCGTCCAACTCATAGCTAATAAACACTGGCTCGGCCATGGTGGCCTACTTGTTTCTCTATGCGATCATCTTAAGTGCTGACACACATGCTTCAAATGTCCTGCCTCGCAGGAATTACCGATCGTCGACTGTCGATGCACGAACCGGTGATAGACCTCCAGCATCGTTCGTATAACGACACTGGCATTCCGATTTCACGAATCGTGATAAGAAACTTAAGCGCGACACGTTTCGAGTACCCAGGGCCCAGATTTGACCGATTATGGATTTGGGAGACGCTGAAGATATTCGTTGCGATTAGCTTGTTATCAGGTTGTGATCGGATTGCGATCGGTTCGTGATTAGGTGGAAAGTAGGTCGTGGTTCGTTATCCAGTTTCTTTTTTTTTTCATTGTAGTTTACCCAAATCTCTTAAGAGTTGTTACCAAGTTGTGATTAGTTTGTGGCCAGTTTGGGATCGGTTTAATCGCAATGATCAGAAACTGATGACAAAGGAATCACAGCCTGCAGATATATTTGTTCAGCTGGAGAACGAAGAAATTGACACCAATAGAAGAATCGCGTCGTACGTTGCCCCTAATGAAGCGGAATCTGCAAGTGTGCTTGAATTTCTACAATTCTAGCATATAGTATCTACGAGACTTGAAATTTAAAGGACCAATAGAAAAAAAAATCCTTAAACTAGATAAACAGCTTAAATGACCGCTTGGGTGTGCCTCCTACATTCGTGGAATGCGAATTGGCCAAGAGCACGATCTGCGAAATGGCATATATGCGTTGCTACTTACTAGCGATCGAATCGAACGAATCTGGCCAATGTGGGCTTCTGGGGGGATAATCGCGGAACTAATAGCATGAATTGCGTACGTGAAACCGTAAGTAAAATTCTTGGACGCAACGAAACGATATTTCGTTGCTCCATCGTTCCACGCTTTCTTGCCATCGCCACCACAGATACAGATCCCGTGTTCGTGTCCCTACGAAAATACACACGGTGTCTTAAAATAAAACGCCTTCGAGAGCAGATGATGATGAGTCCGGCAACACCACGCGTGGCTTTATTTCGGGCCGATGAACTCTTCGATCCGTCCTTGAGATTTGATGGAAATATTCCGGGATATTTGATATAGCACTAGATTAGTATGCAAATTTCGCTCCCAATGCTTACAAAATCGGGAAATGTAAATGTTGGTAGACGGGTGGGGGTTGATCATTTTTTTAAGGAAAGTAGAATTTAAAATAGACTTCTTTCTCTTTGCCAAGTTACACTTTGAAAATAAAATGCAAAGCATCGAGAAATGGATAGACCTGGACCATCGAAAAACGTTAAGAATCGAGGTACTCGTGACAGAATGGAAGAGGATCGTTTTCCTTTTTTTCTTTTATTTAACAGGAGTGATGTTTGTGCCCAACCTACTCTCTCTGCTTCTGCACACGGTGCATTTCATCCTCCGGCCTATTTACGCGCTCATTTACATCAGGAAACAGCCTAAAATACCCCCTGTCAAGAACCCTTTGCTGAAAATCAGCGCCAGCAATTTGGCCAAGAAGATCAGAGATGGAGAAGTGAGTAGAGGACATTCGTTAATCGTTTCACCAAGAGTATTATTCCAGAGGAAAATATAGCATTACGTCTGAACATTACAATGAATAAATAAACTATCGTGTTGAGAACCTAACGGCAATTTAGTATAAGAAAATGTTGATGTTCGCCAAGGCCCGGAATGTAATATATAAATGTCTATCTTTGGGAAAAAGATTTCCAGCCAGAGCGTGGTGGAAGCATACGTGGAACGCATCAAGGAAGTGAATCCTTTTCTGAACGCAGTCGTGGAGGACCGGTTTGTGGCGGCTATAAACGAGGCAAAGATGTGCGACGCGAAACTGAAAACGGGCGAAGCTACAGCTATTTCACTGGAAAAGGAGAAACCGCTTTTTGGAGTGCCGATAACAGTGAAGGAAAGCTGTTCCCTGAAAGGTGAGACGTCTCGAGTGAATGCATGCCACTGAAGATGCGTTCTAGATAAATTTAAACGGATCAACTTCTCATCGATACTGCGAAACAAAAGAAAATTAGATCGATGAATCGTTAAGCATGCAAAGGAATTTAAATAAAATAAGGAAGGAACGTTATTTATTTCACACTGCGCATCAGCATTATAAAATAAATGCAACGATGCTGAAACATAGTAAGTGAATTCTTTCCGTGATACCATGTGCTTATCATAAATATTTGATAAATCTATCGCAAGCATATTCCATATTTAAATTGCGATCTATTTAAAAATTTGAATGAGCGCGTTTACGGGGCAAGTTACGGTATCGCCATCTCGCGGTGAAAGGGTCCAAGTAATTTTGCAAGCTTGGATTAGAACCCTTGCAGTTTGCATAATCAGTGGCGCCATCGTTGGAAAAACGCTCAAGTTTGTAGTGAAAATAGTTGCCACTGTTACTAATAGATGACGTCATAATTTATCATTGTCGTCGCCACCTAGCGTCGAAGAGGCCGAACTAATTTCGGAGTTTGGTCAGCGCCTCTATCGGGAAAACGCTCAAGTTTGTCATCGATTAGTTCCTTGTTTTACTACTAGATGGCGTCATTCTCACTGTTTTTTTTACCGACATGATGGTAATTTACCACAGGTCGGTAACAAAGAAAACCCGTGTAAATGATGCCATGTAGCAGTAAAAAGAGAAACTAATCGAGGACAAAGTTGAGCGTTTTCCCGATAGAGGCGCTGACCAAACTCCGAAATTAGTTTAGCCTTTCGACGCTAGGCAGCGACACTATCCATTTTCCTCGCGAATAATTCAAAAATTTGAATGTAAAATCCTCGAAGCGTTCGATATACTGTACAAGAACTATTTTACATGAAAGATACATGATCGAAAGTGCACTCAATCAACTCTTCAACGGACGGCAAGCGTGTTCCAGAATTAAAAGAGAATTATTTTGATATCAGGAATGAGTTTCACTGGCGGCCACGTACCGAGGGAAGGTGTGAAAGCTTCAGAAGACGGATTAGCTACAGAAGTACTAAGAAACTCTGGTGCTATTCCTTTATGCGTCACCAATACACCTGAGCTATGCTCAGGATTACACGCGACGAATTTCCTTTTTGGAACGACCAGGAATCCGTACGATACCAGGAAATCGCCTGGAGGATCGTCTGGGGGAGAGGTAACAGTCGTTGAGAAGAAATAGCACTCGACAAATGGAGAAGAAAAAAAGAAATATCGTTTCTCTCGATTGTAAGGCATGTGGAGGTAGTGAACATTCAAGTCATCGCTTCGTTCTTTCTTTTAGGGGGCGTTAATCGGCGCTGGGGCGTCCGTTCTTGGGATTGGCTCGGATTTCATTGGCTCCATAAGAATACCATGTCTCTTCAATGGCATTTTTGGCCATAAACCTACTCCAGGTACTATAACAAACACTTTTTCTCTCTCTCTCTCTCTCTCTCTCTCTCTCTCTCTCTCTATAATTATAAATGAGTAATTACTATAATAACGGGGATGAAACGGTTTATTGGCAGGCATTGTCCCCACGAAGGGTCACTTGCCCATGTCGAATGACCCCGTTTTCCAAAAGTTGCTGGTGTGCGGGCCAATGGCGCGATACGCGGAGGACCTTCACCTGGCAATGAAATTATTGAGTTCAGGGTGCGACACGCCGTTGAGACTCGACGAGCCAGTAGACGTGAAAACTCTCAGGGTCTTTTACCTGGACACTGTCAACACTTTATGCGGTACAAAATCAACTACGTCAGACATAAGACGAGCAATTAAAGAAGCGACACATTACTTCGCGGAGAACGGTGCACACGTTGAACACGTAATAACTTTATTGAAAAATCAGTAAATTCATCCCATAGAATATAATCACACGCGATACATTTTCTACACCTGGAAGAATGACCAGGATTATTTTTATTCTCGATACGACGAATGTACGTCAGGTGTCACAGGACTGGCTGAGCGACATCTTCACCTTCGTACTGGCCTTGTGCGGAGAAATTGAACTGCCCGATGAATACTCAGACGCCAAACACCCTGAGGTTCGATTTCTAATATAACAATCTTTATTAAACTTTGATTTATTGTTGTTAATAAATTTTACTTCGAAACATGTTTAGAAAATGTTTATTCACGTTGTGAATTTCGTTGACTTTCCACATAGGACAAGAAAAATGGACTTGTCGAACTGATAAAGTCTACGTTCGGTTTGTCCACCTACACATCGCAGTTCGCCCTGATACGAGCAGTGACGCAGATGCATGGATTCGTTCCTGTTTCGAAATTCGAACACTTTAAGACACTTAGAGAGGACATGCGTGTCAGATTCAACGTACGTAGTCACGTTTCATTCGATAGGTACAGTATACGGTAGCGTTACGTTCAGTAGATTCCGACGGTGCATTCGTTTACTTGCAGAATCTGCTTGGCAGCGATGGGGTGTTCATATGTCCCACGTTTGCCCAAACGACCACCTATCCCGGATTGATGTTCTTTAAGATCGATTGCAGTATTTATACCGCGTTTAGTAATATCATGCACTTGCCATCGACTCACGTCCCGATGGGGTTGAACAGCGATGGCGTACCGATTGGATTTCAGGTATATTTCGGTAGACTGTGTGTCATTCTAGAGCAAAATAAATATTTTTACGTTGCTTTATTCGTGTAAAAATATATTCGAATGAATATTATATTTGAATGAATAATGTATTCATAAATACAAATTTGTACGAACGAATAAAAATAATTTTTCAGGTAATGGCTGGTTCCCACCAGGACCGTCTTTGCTTGGCAGTCGCCAGGGAACTAGAAAAGGCCTTCGGTGGCTGGGTACCACCTCTCAGCTAAATATTTATACATTATTTATATTTATCGTTCCGTTTCTATCACAGATATGGAATATATATTTAACATTAATCATTTGTATTATTTGATCTCTTGTACCTGCATAGGCGCATTTACGATTTAAATTTACCTACGAGTGTATTGCTTGTACACGTTTTTCCTTAATTACTGTTGTCAGTATAAACTATTGTCAATACCCTGTCAGACAAAAGTTTTAATTTGCAATACAGTTTGTTAAAGTAAATCCCATTAGCGAAATATTTCATCATCCTTCGTTTATCCATTACACCAAACGTGCTACATCTTAAATTGCACATCGTGTGGACATTACGAACGCTGATGTCGAGATGAATTCATTAACCTTTACCCGATGAAGTATCCATTGAATATTTATTGTCAAGATGAACTATTACCGAATACTTTCATAGCTAGTGTCAGTTGTGTTGATACTGTCAGAGCTTTAAAATCAAAGACTTGAGAAGATCTAGCCCCGTATGTGAAGAAGGAAAGGATCCAAGACAAGGTAAGATCTAGAATCCTAAATCTTTGTAGGATACACCATATAAAGTGTTTCAACATATTTTCTCCGAAATTGCATCCATTTCGTTCTTGTTAAATGGAACAATGGAATCGTGATTACGATGTTGGTTATATTTAAAAGTACCATTTCCTACGATTTCTTCATTCGTTCGTGTGACTTGAAAATAAATTCTAGACGAAGAACAGGACTAAGTAAAAAGAATATCAGAAGGGACGGATTTTTTGAGCGACTGGTTAATAGACGCGTTTCTTTGTAATCTATAAAAAGCAATATGGAAATTTCAAATTTTTTATCGGCAGCTATTGGAAAATACCTTAACGTTCCGTAACCGTGACCTCTTCTTAATATTCCAGACTGGAAGACTTCCACGAGTAATCGTAAACCTCCTCCCAGGAAAAAATGTTTATGACCAATCTCCTCATATGGATCGCGCACACCTTGCATTTTTTCTTTCGTCCTTTCATCATGATTATGAATCTCAGGAAACGACCGAGAATACCGCCGATCAAGAATCCTCTGTTAAAAATAAGCGCCACTGAGTTAACGAGGATGATCAGAAATAGAGAGGTAAGTAGAAAATATTCGATATTTATCAATTAATAGAAACTATGCTTTCGTATCCAACTTGCATCGATACAATTATTTATTTTTTTCAATAATAAAAAAAAAAAATAAAAAAAAATAAAGGAAAACAAAATTGTAAGCAACATTCTTACACCGTTAATAGATTTCTAGCCAAACTATAGTGGAAGTATACATACAGCGCATCCAAGAGGTGAATCCTTATCTAAATGCAGTGATAGAGGATCGTTTTGAGGCTGCCATAAACGATGCAAAGAACTGCGATGAAAAGCTGAAAAGTGGAGAGGTCACTGCTGCATATCTGGAGAAAGAGAAACCGCTTTTTGGGCTGCCTATTACTGTTAAAGAGAGCTGTTCCGTTGCAGGTAAATCGATCCAGAGAATCTAGTTTCAATGGAGGAAGTGATCAAAGAGATCTTACAAACCTAACTTCTCGCAAGACCATCCGCTGAAGCAATATTCTTTTTCGAAATCAGGAATGAGCTTCACTGTGGGGACGGTCCCCAGGAGAGGAATGAAGGCTACGGAAGATGGGGAAGCGGTACAAATATTAAAGAACGCAGGCGCTATTATCCTGTGCGTTACCAACGTCTCTGAAATGTGCATGGCGCCGCACGCGGGAAATTACCTGTTTGGTTCGACGAGGAACCCGTACGACACGAGGATGTCGCCTGGAGGATCGTCTGGTGGAGAGGTAGTAAAGTTAAATATCAAAGTTACAAATAAAACTCGTTCGAGTCGATTAGAGACGAAGTTGATGCAGTTTCGTGTGATGATTGTTTCAGGGAGCCTTGATTGGCGCAGGAGCCTCCATACTAGGGTTTGGTTCTGACTTAGCGGGTTCGCTGAGAATACCGGGCCTGTTTAATGGAATATTTGGCCACAAGCCTAGTTCAGGTACTCCAAGTAATTCTTGCTTCTTAAACTTTTTACAATAAAGAGTGAATAGATTGGAAGAAAATCGGGGTCCAAATATTGTAGTTATCCAGTCGAGGTTTCTATTCCGTGTTTATATTTGGCTCGAGTCGAGCGTCGAACGTACAAAAGAACAGAGAGTGAAAAAGAGAAATAGTCATCTTCCGTTTATCCAATCAATCCCGTTTTGCACTTATTCAGTCTTTATACTGTACCTTAACGAAACCTTCCCAAGACATAGGTGGTCCCAATATGGTGTTCTGTTCGCAGGTGTAGTTCCTCATGAGGGACACATGCCCTGTATGAAGGATAAAACGATGCAGACGATATTTTCGATAGGTCCAATGACAAGATACGCGGAGGACCTCCCCTTGGCTATGAAAGTGTTGAGCGTCAGGAGCAAAGTGCCATTGACCTTGGACAAGCAAGTGAACGTGAAATCTCTGCGAGTATTTTACGTGAATCGCTTCGAGAGCTTTTGTGGCGTGAGAGAACCCACGCCGGACTTGATAGAAACCATAAACGAAGCCATACGTTACTTCGAGGAAATCGGTGTAACGACTCGAAAGGTAATATTCTTACAAATGAATATTATTAGCTACGTTGTATAGAAACTGACTATATTTCGAAATGCGATATTTGCGTGTTTTAGTTGCCGCAGGAGTGGGTACGCGACACAACGTCTCTCTACGCGGCCATGACTCGCGAAATGGTGCACGAAGAACCACTTGCTGACCCCCACAATCCTGAGGTAACTGTGTATCTACCATAATTAATTATAGTATAATTCCTAATTCTTGACTTCAGGAACTCTACAAAGTAGGCATAGTGTACACACGTTATTTAATTTGCCATTTTCCCTGTAGAAAGACGTACACCCGAAACTCGAGATCTTAAAGGGATTACTCGGTTTATCAAAGTTCACGATGGACCTAATCAGGTTCCGACTATTGATACTGGCGCACGGATTCATACCGTTTTCTACGGTAGAACGATTTAGAAATATCAGACTTCAGATCAGTCGCAATGTTAATGTACGTTTCGTTCGATAAATATTTACCAAGCACATCTTGCGCGAGGAGGTCGGAAATGTTCGTAATCTGTTTATGTACTCGCAGGAGCTGCTCGGTGAAGATGGGGTATTCATATGTCCCACGTTTTCCCAAACGACAAGCTATCCAGGATTGATATTTTTTCAATTGGACAGCTGCATGTACACCGCGTTCGCCAATATAATGCTCCTGCCATCGACTCACATTCCAATGGGATTGAACTCGGCTGGACTTCCTGTTGGATTTCAGGTAATGGACGCAAACGATGCATCGTGATGAAAATTCTCACAATTAGTGCGCTACTCGATTAAAATTATTATTGAATGTGAAACATTGCGTGTTCAGGTAATAGCTGCAAAAAATCAGGATCATCTTTGCTTCGCAGTCGCTCGAGAGTTTGAAAAAATCTTCGGTGGCTGGGTGGATCCAAATGCTAAATGATTCATTTACAACTACTACATCTAATCGATGATAATTGTTGTGATTTTAATATTAAATAGTACTGTACCTGCAGCGTAAGAATACTGTAGCTGTAAACACTGCTATAATAATTTAATAAAAAAAAGTACACGAATTGTTATTTGTTTGTCGAGATGTAAATTCAAATTTTTGAATTATTCGCGAGGAAAATGGATAGTGTCGCTGCCTAGCGTCGAAAGGCTAAACTAATTTCGGAGTTTGGTCAGCGCCTCTATCGAGAAAACGTTCAACTTTGTCCTCGATTAGTTCCTCTTTTTACTGCTACATGGCATCATTTACACGGGTTTCTTTGTTACCGATCTGTGGGTAAATTACCATCATGTCGGTAAAAAAAAAAAAAACAGTGAAAATGACGCCATCTAGCAGTAAAACAAGAAACTAATCCAGGACAAACTCGAGCGTTTTTCCACCGATGGCGCCACTGATGGTGCAAACTGCAAGGGTTCTGTTCCAAGCTTGCAAAATTACTTGGACCCTTTCACCGCGAGATGGCGATACCGTAACTTGTCCCGTAAACGCGCTCATTCGAATTTAATTTGAATTTAATTGTGAATTCTTGAATCGTTGATTGTATTACAAAACTATTAGCATTACATTAAAGATACATCATCGGAACTATACCTAATTGTCTCTTTACACGGTAGACATATTCCAATGAATAAAATAGAGAGTATAAATGAATAATATCCGAAAACAAACGAGAAGAATAAAGTGAAAGGTTTCACATCGAGTTAACAAAATATATCTCGTGTTTCCTCTTGACGTACTGGCTTGAAGTAAAGTCAAATCGATTCGATACATTCTTAAACTCATGGCCAGTAACCGGTTTACACTCGTTACATAATTTATAACTTTCTCCACAGGAAATGGGAAGTCCATGTATTACGTGCAGATCGGCAGTCCTCGTCTAACGTCAATAATTGACGAATAATGCTACCACCACAACCATTACGCTTAGTCGAATAAAGTTGCGAAATTCTCATCTGACAGTGAATCGATTACCTCTCGCTGCCGAATTAGCCATGGCCTCGAAATGGAATCGCGTCAGGCGGCTTGTCAGTATGTTCTGGGAGTCCGTGGACGAAAGAATACTGCGACAGATGGCGTGTCAAAATATCTCTCGCGTGTCCGTCAACAGTTATCGAAATAGATCCGAGTGGATCGATGGTTGAAATCGCGCCGATAGCGAAGAGATCGATGCGTGGGAGAATCGATCGCTCCGAGTGCTGGTCTATCTTTGATTCATCGAAGAAACGTTGCTCGATCCTTTGAAAACGATTTAAGCGTCGAGAAAAACAACCTTGCTTGCAGGTAAGATCCAGTGAATTAATAAAAAAAATTGTATTTCAATTATTCATGGGAACCAGTGATCCGATAACGTAGAATTTAATCGATTCTGTCGTTACGATGGTTAGATCCCTGTGATTATATTTATGTTGGAGGGAGAGTTTAGTTCTTAAGACTCTCGTAATATACAAATCACCTGGAAGAACTGTTTTTCAGCGATTTTTCAGTTTCTCTTTTAAATTGTGAGAATTGGTTTTGTGTAAAATAGCGATCGAGAAGTTGATCGAGACTCGACACGTGGAATGTTGCTCCGCGATGTATGTATTGCTAACTCGATTAAGGTTGGAGGTCGAAATTTAGCGATTATCGGTATCAAGAAAAATCTTGTATCGGTATTTTTTTTGGTCGAAAATGAATACTTATGCGGGGCAAAGCAGATATATTCGCGAGGCGAATAGGTCTTCTCGTCCAGCTTTTTGGTGAAAAAGCGCAAAAGATAGTGGAGCAGAATGCAATAGCGATGAAACAAAACAACACAATGTAATCGCGTAATTGTATGTAGGTATGATATTGTTATTTTCGCGTTGCGTGGACGGTCACGTGTACTCTGCGCCTCGTGGAATGCGTAAATTATAAAATGATTCGTCGGTGAAAGCAGTGATCTTAATAGATACACAGATGCCACGTGCTGTATCGCAGATGTATGTATTTGGTAAATGAATGACAATGGAGAACAATTCCGCTGATAAAAAAAAAAAATTGGCAAAAATGAAGGAAATTTGAAGCTTTTCTTACGATTGATATTTCGTTGATCTTCTTACAACTCTTGATTGGAAACCCAGCATTTAACTAAATATAGGACATGTATAATTTTTCTAAATTGTATTACGTAATATAATAAGTATATGGTACAGTATATTATGTAAATATATATTTTTTTATGAGCATATGAATAAACATGCGTGTAAAATAGACAGAGACCAACATGCATTGATTGATACGCACACAAACACACACACACATCCGCGCGTGACGGAATTGCTTTTTATATGTATATATATATATATATATAGTTTTTTGTAAACATACAACATGCAAACGTACATATTTTTAACGCATGCGCAAAATGATATTTTGCCAAGTAAGCAAGTTATCTTGAACAATGGCCAATAAATAATCAGACACGATTGACTCCAACAGATTATCAATTACTCATTTATGACGGCAGATTAGAAATCTAGTTTACCATTGGCGATTAGTCCGACAATCACTAACGATTGCTGCAAAAATGAAGAAAAAACACGATAAACGACATACAGTGCATCACAAAATATCTACTATCTCTTGTGTAAATAACGCGGTTATCGAGCGAGAATTTAAATCATTTTAATCAAACAGTTAAATTCTCACAATTTCTTCTAATTTATTTCACTCGGTGACTTTGTAAGTTTTACTCTCTTTCAATGAATAAAAATATCATAGGTTAGTTACCGTAGAATATAAATATATAATTGTCGAGTATAGACAGATTTTATAACGTTAGATAGTAATTGTTATCGAATAAATGGCTGATCGAGATCTGTTTATCATCGTTGCTCGAAATTTTTACCTAGATAAGAATTTTCTGCAATTTCGAACCAAGTATTGACGAATTAAACAATTACCATAGATTGTTGCTAAGATCGCGTAGAAGTTGCGGAACGAGATCCAAGGACGAGCCAGGCACGTGTAATCTGTCTACTTACAGTTTACGTAATCACGAACACCGTGGCTCTTGGATCAATATAGTTTTTATTGGCAACATCGATTATTTACATTCCTGCGTGTGCTCGATTCCTTGTTACGTGACTGAGACGAAAATCGGTAATAGGATGTCCAGTTAATTCTAAATTTCACTCGGAAGTGATTCGAGAGAAATGCATAAAATTAAACGTAGCGACATCTACGTTTGGTCTAATTAAATTAGATTAATAACGAAATTAAGAATCCTCGACTCTGGTTTCTCAAACCGACCATTATAGCGTAGATTAGAAAGTGTTGATTGATTTTTATTAGGTGCAAGAATTAATTCTGTGTCTTTGCATCGAACTATTTGTAATTCTAAGCAGATACACTTCTGAGTAATAAAAGTGTACCTGCTCCTGATCTTTGTTTCAATGTATTTACATTCTATACGAGGAATCCAAATCTCAACTCGATCACATCACATGTCTTTGCATTTTATTCTATTCTCTTAGCGCTCTATTCTTCTGTCTGATTATTTCATTCGATTTCTCTTCTTCTATCGCGTTCGTTCCGACATCTTCGCATTTTCATTTACAATTTCGCGATTACATTGTGTTGTTTTGTTTCATCGCTATTGCATTTTGCTCCACTATCTTTTGCGCTTTTTCACCAAAAAGCTGAACGAGAAGACCTATTCGCCTCGTGATCGTGGACTCTGTAATTGTCCATTCGTTATCGAGGCAACACGAGAAACTGTACATGCAGGAATTAGGTGAGTCAGCTAACACAGATACAATAACCACCGTCTATTTGACGTATTCGGCGTGGCTGAACGCGACTCTCCATAGTGATATGACAACTGGTTATTCTAACTTTTTTACCCGTGACATTGAAGAAATTGCCACGTTTCCGATGTTTTTGTTCGATCGAACGTTTCAACAAATTTACGTAACAGATGAGACGAGAAATTGTCTGGCTGGTCTGACTTAGGGCCAACAGGACCCTGTGATCCTCTGGATGACACAGTTTTCCAAACAACCTCGATACCAAGCTTCTTATCTTTATCCGTAAATCGATGGAATCGATCAACATGGAATGCATCGGCGATCGTTTCGGTGAAAAAAAAAAAAAAAAAAAAAGGCGTGGAAATTATCTTTATTAGTTAGCTTTGGATTAACAAAACTTGATGGTGATCGTCGGTTTGACTTTTTAATGCATTTATCTGTTTTCCATCGGAATACTCGGCTTCTTTTGTTGTTGAGTTCAACAGTTTGCTCTAATAAACGTGCAGTGTCCTCTACTTTCTTATCTCCCCTCTATCGCTGAAAGGAAGAGGGTCAGTGGAAATTGCATGTGTTCAAATGAAACAAAGAAGAATTAGTTTAGTACACCAAAAGCCAATGAGAGCCAGAGAAAATTAAAAAAAATTTTTTTTTTTTTTTTTGTTTTTGTTTTTGTAAGCGAAAAATCTCGAATAGATTAGTTTAGATGATTACTCGACTCGATCGATTGTATTTCAAGCTGTAATATGGATCAAAAGAAAACGCGAGATTTCCATATGTCGCATAATGCGAAGATTAATGAGTCAATAAACGCGTCAACCTATTATTTACATAATATAACTGGCGTTTCACGATATCGGGATACTTTACTGTGCTCACTTGTTGCCCGATGGTTAACGTATAACGTTGTATACTTGCACGGTTAGGATCGCATACATGGAAGCCAACATCATCTCCATAGAGCATATTTCGAAACGCTCGATACGTATGTAATCTAAATTGTTTTCGCAACGTAGGAAATTATCTGGCGATAAATGGATTTGCAATGTTAATTCGACGATTATTTTAGAATAAACTCGTTGAAAAATCTAATACACCGCCTGCCGACGATAAGGATTGCTCTATGAACGAACACGTACACGCCTATACGCGTACGCGTAAGGAAGATACGCTGGCACACAGCAGTGCTTACGTTGTGCTCGAGGAATTAATCAGACCGAGGAATTAATCAATTTGGACACAGCGAAACAAAGAGCAGCGTTAGGAGTTGGCTTTTTTCTTTTATGTTATCCAATTTTTGCAAGCGTGACAATCGATGCAGAAGACGAGTCCAAGCACGACCCCATTCCGACAATTATTATATATAGCTGGACCCCGCGGTTTCACCCGCATGGAATACTTATTTATTTTATGTCGTTCGCGTTCGACTGACCGTTCAACCGCGTGCTCCTTCGCGAATCAGTGACCGACTGTCTTTTGTTTTCCGTAACTCGGATCCACGATCGATATTTCTCATTGTGAGTATATAACGATGCCACGACTTCATTTATCGATTTTGACATTTCGACTCGCAAACGTATTTTTATCGAAATAAAACGTAGTCTGGGTTACTCAGGGGCAGTGTGGCTTTCTATCAGTGAACAAATGTTTAAAATCGGTTAAAATTTGATAAAAATTTTGCAAAAGCGTGTTTGCAGTTTTAGCAAGGCGCGAAAAGCCGTATAAAAGCTTAAAAAAAAAAGTATTATTTCGAAATCACAGACAGACACTTCAATTTTATTCGTATAGATAATACGAGCAACTTTCGAATCCTGCAAGGACGCGACCCTTCGAAGGTCGCTGGCGGTAAGGCCATGAAAATATTTTTAAAAAAATATTATAAAAATATAACGAGAAATGGAGTTTCGTTGAACGAAAATGTAATCGCCAAGGTGATCAACATACTCTGTCTCTGAACGTTGCACTGTTAATCGGTCGTCACTTTATACATATGTTTCCTTAAAAGGATGGTCGCCTGGCAAAGTCAGACCAGTCTGCCTCTATATTTGAGAAAGAGAAGGTGCTTCTGCCAGTTGCTGATTTCTGTCATTAAACCTCGCAGCGTCGAAGGTACAACAGCTACCCTTAAACCGATTCGATTGGTCGAGCAGGTAGCTTGCCTCTATTCACGAATAAACAGGAACAGAGACTTCCGAGTGAATTTTAAATATTGCTGTTTCCTTTCTAACAGGAATAGAAGAGAAATAGTGTACCAAGTGAACTTTAAATATTGCCATTTCTTGTTTAACAGACGAGATGATTCTGTCCAACCTGACCAACATTCTCACGCACCTGTTGCACTTTGTCCTTCGTCCTATTTTCCATCTCATCTACATCAAGAAACCACCGAACATACCGCCGATCAGGAATCCTCTTCTGAAAATCAACGCTAGCACTCTAGCTAGGAAAATCAGACGCGGAGAGGTAAGTTGTTTTCCTGTTTTTTAGTATCGATCCACTCACGTAGTTCTAGTATGTAATTATTGCTAATTTTGTAGCAAACGTTTAATTACCATCAATCATGATACTGCATTTTATTGTCAAAACATCGTTAGGTACTTTTTCTTCGTTTAAACAGTCCATCTAAATAAAAATAGTTCTGGGCATTACACGTTGTTCAGCTTGATATTATTACCTATTAAATCCATCACGTATAAATCCCGTTTAAATGAACGAGCGACGTCGGTCCAATTACAGCAAATCCATAATTTGTAACTCTCTTGCACTGGGAAAAGCTTTCTAGCCGGACTGTAGTGGAAGCATATATCGAGCGTATTAAAGAGGTGAATCCTTTCCTAAATGCAGTAGTAGAGGAACGATTCGAAGCGGCTGTAAATGAGGCAAAAATTTGCGACGCGAAACTTCAGACAGGGAAAGTGACCGCCGCTACGCTGGAAAGGGAGAAACCGTTGTACGGGGTACCTGTTACCATCAAGGAAACCTGTTCCCTTGCAGGTACGTCGAGAAATGTTAGTTCGACACTTTAGCCACTGGATCGATCGAAATGATTTTACAATTCTAAAAAAGGGCATCGATTTCTGAGTGAGACGAATCGAAAAATATTCTCAGAGTTCCAAAAACGTTGCATACATTCCTCTCGACGCTTGACACTTGGCCACCTAACGCGAAACCATTTACTACGTTTATTTGAAGGCCAGTTATCGTACGAAAAATCTCGATGACACTTGATTACTCTCTGAATAAAGTTACGTTTGTCTGAAAATCAGGCATGAGCTACACAGGAGGCACTTGGTCGAGAAAAGGTGTTAAAGCTACGAAAGATGGAGCAGCAGTGGAGTTATTAAAGGACGCAGGAGTCATTCCTTTGTGCGTCACCAACACCCCTGAAATGTGTTCGGGGATTCATACGACGAATCACCTGTATGGCACGACAAACAATCCATACGATACGAGGAAATCGCCTGGAGGATCCTCGGGGGGAGAGGTAATTACTCGAACAATGATGAAATAAAATATTCCCAAATTTTAATTATATCTACTTTCAACGTTAATTAACTAGTCGTTAACTACTGTCTGAAAAATATCTGCGTCTAGACGTCTATGTCTATGTCTATCAAGTTTGTTTCTTGTGTTAGGGCGCGATACTAGGCGCAGGAGCATCCGTGTTTGGGCTTGGATCAGACGTCCTGGGATCCATAAGGATTCCAGGCCTATTCAATGGCGTTTTCGGCCACAAGCCTACCTCAGGTATGTAAATATCCTTACAAAGAATCCTCATTGATCGAAACCTTCTTGATATCCACATTCCCCTCTATACAAGAGTCGAGGTCGCCTTATTTTTGTAAAACCTCAAACTTAAGATTAGGCTCGCTTCGAGAGTATACTTCCAAGCGATGCATTCCTTTCTTCTTGCAACATGGATTGTTCGCAGGTATTACTCCTAACCAGGGACACATACCGACCTTGGATAGTCAATCACCGCTGGGAAAAATGTTGGTGTGCGGTCCAATGACGAGATACGCGGAGGATCTTCACTTGGGTATGAAAATTCTGACCGCCAAATGCGAGAAACCGTTGGATCTTGACGTGCCCGTCGACGTGAAGACTCTGAGGGTGTTTTACCTTGACAATTTCGACAGTTTCTGCGGTATTAGGTCAACGACAGCTGACATTAGGCGAAAGATAGCGCAAGCGACCGATTACCTGGCCGGGAACGGTGCACGCGTTGAGCACGTAATGATTTTACTAAGAAATCGACGTTAAAATCTCAATGTTATAACAGCACGATCTATTAATTAATATTAATACCGAGGTTCGTTTGTGTTGCAGTTGTCGCAAGACTGGGTGTCCGACATATACATATTCCTGATGGCCTGCTTTAGCGACGTGCAAATGCTTGAACTGCAGGAAGATCCAAAATTCAACGAGGTAACGAATCAAAACGTGTACACGACGTCTTTGATAATTAATATTACGCTTTAAATTTTCTACATTTGCTATTGTATCCTCGTGAAAGTATTATTATCAACAGATTGATGAGATTTCTCTGATAAGAACGATTTCGAACTTGACTTTCTCCTCGTATCGCTAAACTTTTAATTTAATGAGTCACTCCGGTATTATTGGACACGCTTATCGCAGCGTTTCTCAACCGAGGGATGCATCGATATCGTACTTATTTGCTAATAACACGTGTCACCTAATTCATAACTTGTTTCCTTCGCAGAGAGACAAGAGGCCGTTACTGGAGTTCGTCAAGGCTTTGTTTGGTGTCTCCGATTACACTCTGACGCTAGCGTACCTACAACTGCTGAAGAGGCAACGAGGATTCATATCACGTTCCAAGGAGGAATATTATCGACAACAAGTGAAGGACATCGGTGACAGAGTCAACGTACGAGAGCACATTTCATTCGAAATACACAAACGAAAACTGCCAGGTTGAATCAACTTTCATCCTGGATTAATGTACTTACAGAAACTGCTCGGCAGCGATGGAGTGTTCATATGCCCCGCGTTCTCCCAGCCAACAGACTTAGCAACGATCATTTCCCTTCAGACCGATTCCATCGTTTACAGCGCGTTCAGCAACATGATGAACTTGCCTTCGACCTACGTGCCAATGGGACTGAATAGCGACGGATTACCAGTTGGATTTCAGGTAAATTATTAGCTGCCAAGACATTCATTTTAACTTCTTCTTCTTCTTCTTCTTCTTCCTTTCCTTTTTTCAACGAGTGTTTAAGCTAAATAAGAGTATTTCCTAGCTTCTGGTTAATCGTAGCTACTTTGTAACTATGAAAAATGATGTTTCAGGTGATGGCTGCGTCCTACCAGGACCGTCTTACCTTGGCAGTCGCTAGGGAATTGGAAACAGTCTTCGGTGGCTGGGTACCACCTCCAAGTTGAACTTCCATTTCGTATCAATTATTTGTTTCGTCGTTAACAAATTGAATACTACTGTTTTGTTGTACGCTGTGATTTTTTCGCTTTGTTGCAAGAGACCGTAACGAAGCGTCTATTTTAACGGGAAAACTAGATGGAGTGAATGTTATTTATTTATAATCAGTTAACCGATACACACTCTTTATTCGTCGCGGCGTTTCTTAATAACCACACTGGCGCACCTATGGATTCGCATTAAATGTGCAATAACATACATTAACGAATAGTAAAATTATCTTTGCTAAATAAACCGGAGATAGTATTTTCAACGAAGCTCTATGTTAATCGAAGGAACCTTGACGCCTTTCCCCAATGTAAAATATAAAGGAGGTTCGTATTCAAAGTCCATCGTTGTTTTATAACAACCTTAATACCATGCATTAATTACAGGGACGGAGAACGTTAATCGAACCGTCTAAAATAAAGGAAATATAAATTCAAATTTAATGAGATCTTTTGTTTCGCGAATGTTCTTTTACCCGCCTTGCACCGTGCTCTTTCAAGCGATTACGAAATTTCTATCGAATTCAGCGATACTGATACTATCGATCTGATAGCGAATACTGAACATAACGATTTGATCGCGCTGGGAATCCCGAAATTTCGCAGACATAACCGGAATACCGCGTATTTCACAACGCACCGAGTATAATACGAAGTCGATCGATCCATGGATCCGCCACAGGATTCATCCGACTACTCTACGTTTCCATGACGAATTAAATAACATGATCAATGTCAACGTGCTTTCGTGGATTTACTTGGATTACCTTTCACCGCGAAAGGTACAATTTCTAAGGCACTGTGCTGTGGATACACCATATCCAAGTGGATCAAAGACCGACGAAAATACAAAATTCGCGAGGCATATAGTAAAACTACGTTCGCGTGTTCGATGAGCCAAGTGACTGCTCATTTCTTACGATCGCACGGAGGAATGTACAGTTTTCCGCCATGCTTTTCCCACTCGCGATTGAACTCGTGTTCCAACACCTCGGCCCCTCGTTTCCTAGTCAATCCAGTCTCGTCTAGGCTCAATTCGCACATCTGCATGTCGTCGATACCTTTCACAAAAATAAAATTCTTTTCGTGAACTGAGCACGTGGTTGCGACATTGGGGTATTTTTTTATCAGCGGTCTAGTAATCAGTGACTTTTTAGAACTATACCTGCTACCAGAAGAATTGGAGCCTTGTCAGGATGAAGTTCCATCTGCCTTGCAACGTATTGGCCGTCGAAATGAGCGTACCACCACCCTCTTTTGCCAGTGTTATGCGTGTTGTCTTGCTGCCCTGGCGCAGAGGGTCGTACGAAGGGAATTCTGAAGTACCGCTGCGAGGACTCGACTATCGATTGCTTCATCGGAGTTATGGGTGTCTTAGCAGCTAATACATGTATGACAGTATGACAATCGCGTACAGGGACATGGATTAAAATGCAAAAGAACTCGATCCTTACCAGCTTCCATAATGGACCTCGGCGCTCTCTCGTTTTCGTCCATGGTAGTTCTCTTGCGATTCCTCGCTTTCCATGCGTGATAAACTTTTAATCTTCGGTGGAACTCGTGACGACAAGCCTGAGAAAATTTACGAAGATATATACGAGCTGCAATATCCGCCATTAAACGATTCCTTATCTTATTAATTAAAAGATAATCAACGATGCTCACTTCAAGTAACTCTATGTCACATGACGTGTTTATAGCGTCTCGTAACTCGGAGTACTTCCACTTGGATAAGTCGTACTTCTTGTTAGACATGGCTGCCTGATTATTGCGTACCTGTTCTGACCTAACGTTTTAAAAGATGTTAATTGTTATATTAGAGCATTCGATGCACTGTTGATATATGTAAAAAACTACGAGATCTCGAGGTGTTTATGATACCTTGCTAGCCTGTTGTTGTTCGATGGTGCTCTCACGTCGGAACCACTACACGTATTATATTAAAAAAATAAGAACTTAGCGTTTGATCAAATGAATTATTCGTAAAATATTTGATAATAAAATACCTTCGCACAGGTGGTGGCGAATCTTCGACTTGTCCGTTCGACTCTTGGGCTAATCTGACCGCCAATTCGTGATCTCTTCTCTCCTGTTCCAGTACTTCGCGATATTTATTCTCTTCCATGGCCTCTTTCTCCAGTCGCGCCTTGAAAAAAAAAAAGAAGAAAACTTGTCAAATTGAGTAACCTCCTCCTTTTCGAAGTCGGTTAAAAACAGGTGAAACGTTCATTCGAGAGTTCGAAACTATTCTGCTCGACGATTCTTTGTATAATATACATTGCACGTATCTAATCTATGAGTTTTTTTAATTTAAAAAAGCCCACGATACGAAACTAATCCGTATTTGGTATTGTTTATCTAATTAACACAAACACGAAGTAGCTTCATAAAAAGATTAAATACATACTTGAAGAGCCGCGGCAGTTTTCTGATCCTCTATCTCTTGTCTCCTCTTTTCTTCTTCTTCGGCTTTTCTTCTCGCCTCGATGTCGTGTTTCTTTCTTCTATTTTCCTCCTCCTCTCTCTTCTGCCGCTCCTCCTCCTCTTTCTTCTGTTTCTGAAGCTCTAGCTCTTGTTGGATCTTCCTCAGCTTCGCCTGTTCCTCCGCTATCTTCTGCTGTTTAACCATGTCCTGCAGCGACGCCATTTGCCTGTTAACCTGATTAACCAAATTCGTGTAAAGGGAATCGATCTCTGCAGGTTTTATCTTGGGGTTGCTCTTGATCTTATCGACTGCCACGTTTAAATCATCTTGGAGTCTCTTTATATCGCTCATCGTTTTTTCGCGATTCTTCAACTGCTTCGACGTCTCCTCCATTCCGATCAGCTGATTATTCAGGTTGGTTATCTTCATCATCCCCTTTATACGAGGTCGATGCTGCTTCTTGGCTATGTACATCCTGGCAGTTTTCTGTAGAATTATCAAGTGGTGTCTGCGATAAATGATCTTGTTCTTCAACTTGATCACGGAGAGAGCGCAAAATTGCATCTTGTTCCATCGAGATTTCAGAAGCCACTTCTTCACGTTGGCCACCAATTTTTGCAAGTTCTCTGGATCCGACTTCATGATCTTGTCGAACTCGGCGAACTTGCCTGGCTTGAAGAACACTCTGGTGATCCCAAACTTGAAGTCTTTCTTGTTTAATTTCAAGCTGTGAAGCAACGCCTCGCAAAAGAACCTGGGATCCAGTTTGGCCAATTCAGGTGGAAGATAGGATTTGTACATGTTGTAGAGTTCCTGGAACGGAACTCTGCTGGGATAACCGTGCTCCATAAGCTCCAAGACGGACGTCATTCCCGAGCAACGAAGCTGTCCCAAAATACTGTTTCCGTCGAACTGGTGCGCCACCATGTCGTTGTTGGGCTTAATGCAACGAACGAAGTTTGTTCCCTGAAAAGAATTTTAACATAAAGATTCTTTAGAGTCTCGCGAGAAGAAGAGAAACTCACGTTGCTCTTTAATTTATCCATCAACTCCCCTAGCTGAGTTTTGAATTTACTACCAACGCTGATGAAGGTGAGCTTCCCTTTCTGGCTCGAGTTGTTGGCGAATTGAGTTCTGAGGAACTTGGTGTTGCTTTCCTGAATTAACGCCTCCAAGGAAGCGTGCAGTGCATCGTTGTTCTTTTCGATAAACTGATTCTGAAAATACATAAAGCCATTCGGTAGTACACCTTGGCAATGGAAGTATGAAATGGGGAAGCTAACGAGAGACGATGGCTTGTCGATAAATTTATGATGGCGTACCGTTTGATAGCAGACACCCCCGGCGTAATGACGAATAACGAAGCCCTCGTCGTCCCGCAATTCTCTGTGAGCCTTCAAACGCGAAGTTCTGGGCAAAGTTATCCTAAAGTGACCGTTCCAAACGCGATGGACCTCGCTGGTGAAATGCGCGAAGCTGTGAGTGGGCAATTTCGATTCTTCATCCAACAAACTGAAGATTCCCATGTTTTTCGACTCGATTAAATCTGGAAATGCGAGTCAAAAATCACGATTTGTCTCCAGGTTAACGAACGAACTGTGGAAAGATTATTTACCGATGCAGTCTTGATTGTCGACGTAAGATATCTTGGGTACGTTTAGAGACTCCCTCGCGTATAGGTCTTGCTCATATTTCAAGATTCTCTCGTTGAAGAATTGCTGTAGTTTCTCGTTGCAGTAATTTATGCAGAACTGCTCGAAACTGTTTACCTTGAAATATTCTGTAAGTAATTAGTTATGTTATAATCAATTCGAACAGCAATGATTGACGATTAAAACAACTGAAGAAGATGAAGGATACGATGCATATGAATTTAATGCATACCAAAACCTGCAATATCCAAGACACCAATGTAATAACTCGAGGCTTTGAAAGGAATGCTTTTGTTGATACGACCTACAATGTGATCGAACAGTTTACTATAGATCGCCTTGGCCAGAGCGTCCCTAGCGTTGTTAGCTTCGTAAACTTTCAACGGTACCCTGAAATTATCGCGTAACACAAATTTCATAAGAAGCTTATCTTCTTTATCACAGAACAATTTATTTAATGTCCCTCTTCTTCAACTTACATGATAACTGTTCCTTTGATACCACCGCGACTGGTCTGCATAACTTTAGAGACTAGAGCTTGTCGAAGCTCTTCAGGGTCAACGGCTAACAGCTTTGCCGACATCAACACCGCCTTCTCGGAGCTGGCACATATCCTGGAGCCACCCTTCGTGTCCTCAGGGTTGTCTTCGAAAGTGATATTCCCAAGATGGAGCACCGCGGCAACCATCGTGTAAATTTCCATTCTCTCCGCGTCAGTCAAACCAAGCCGCGTCAAAGCCTTCGCGAAACACATTTACAAGAAAATCAAGCCACTATCGAATTAATAAAATTACGTTAATCGAAAGCATCTTTATAAATATTTGGGTCAACAAGTAGCTGCGAATGAATGAAAGAGTATCGATAATTAAGATGAGAAGCGATGATCTATTACAAAACAATCGAATTACCGTTGCTTTTTCCTGCGTCGCAAAAAATTATCCGATCGGCAAGAAAGGAAAGAAAAATCAGTATAATCGTACTCTTAAAAAGTTGGTCGAATTTCTGACTACATCCGCGCAGAAAGACGGATAGGAAATTAGGAATCTCTAATCAAAAATCCAATGCATCTATTTAAAATAGCGCATCGGTCCCGAAGCTTACCTGATCGATGGCATTGAATCCTTCCACGTCGTCCAGGATGGGGTCGTGCAAGCTACCTTTCATCATCTGGTCGCGACTTTTTTGAACGTCGTTCAGCTTCTTCCCCGACTCGTCGTTGCAAAAGTATTGCGTGCAACCGTTCCTCAGGTAGTGGAAGTCATCCGGTTTCGTAATTCCAAGTTTCGCGCGGAGTTCAGGAGGAGCACCGGCACACATCATGTAGAAAACGTGATAGTTTCTCTCGTCGGGGCTCTGGAGGCACACCCTCGACTTCTCCAGGAGGTAGTGGGATATATAGCCGCCCACCACTTGGCATTTAGAGTCGAAGTGCACCTCCATGAACTTGCCAAACCGCGAGCTGTTGTTGTTACGCTTCGTCTTTGCGTTTCCAAAAGCTTCCAATACGGGATTCGCTGAAGAATTAAGAGAAACGAATCGTGAGGAAAGTATGAGGAATCATTTTATGCGGAGAAATTGGCAGTGTAGTGACTTTCAAATAAAATATCAAACTTGTAAACAAACGAGAAATCATTTTTGGAGCTTCTTCTTATCGAGAGACCTCAAGCTAAAGGTTGGTTATCTCCATATAGTAGCCCTTGTTTGACCAAATTATTGCTTAACGAAGCGTTACCATCCAAAATTTTCTGCTCGATAGGTCCAGCCATCGATCCCCACAGATCGCAAAGATATCGAAGAAGGTACTTGGTCGATTCGGTCTTGCCCGCTCCAGATTCGCCGGAGACGATGATGCTCTGCGACTGCTTCAGCACTTTCATGTCCCTGAACGCTTTGTCAGCTGGAAACGGAGAAATTAGAACCGATTCGATACGAAAAGTCCAAATTTTAGACAACGATGGGGAGTAGAGGTGCTCACCAATGGCGAAAACGTGCGGCGGTGTTTCTCCTAGCGACTTTCCCTGATAAGCTTTGATGGTCTGAGGTGAATATAGATCTCTCACTTCGCAATAAGGATTTACGGCGATTAAGATATTGGCGACGTAGGTCTGCGAAATGTCACACGAAATGGTCGTTTAACGAGAAAGCAATTTGACAAATATTACTTTTCTTCTTAAACGGGTCGGGTAGGTTTCTTTCGAAAACTTTGATAATTACCGCATCGAATCGTTTGGTAACATATAGTACTCGAGTTGTTTTCAAGAGTGAATTGCATTGCGCTCAGAGTTACTCACGTATATTCTGTCCTTGAAATAACGTGTCCGTATATTGTTCAGTAGCGTGGCCTCGTTCAGATACATCAGAGCACCTGGAAACATAAAAAACAGAGCAATCCAGGTGAAAGTGGATTTTTCAAAAGAGAGACTCGAGACCAGGCGCCGGAGATCGTCGTTCGCGGCGGAAACAACGATAAATCTCGGTTCCAGCGCGAGGGAAAATTTCGCAAGCCGTGTTTCATGGTTATCTAGATCCTGCTGTTAATTAATAAACGTTGAAACGCCGACTATTCGTCAAATGCGTAATAATTCAAGTAGTAAAATGTTCAACATCCGAATTTTCTGTTTTGTCGCTTTAAAAAGAACGTAGCTATTTTCAAATCTAAAGAGAATTATTTAAAGAAATCTAATTACAATTGTCTTCGACATCTTTGGTGTACTCCCCAGCTGGGTAGACTTCGTCCAGGGGGCAGGTGCGCTGTGGATACTTTGGATCGAGTGGCAGGATCAGTGCATCGCCGTCTACCATATCTATGAACTTCCCGATTATGAAACCCTCCTGTGGGTCTCGCACCCACACCTGCTGGTTTTCCATATTGACCCACGTTCTGTAAAAGGAACAAAAAAAAGCAATTCGCCGTAGTTAGCTGTATTCGAAGCTGATAAAGCGAGACAAAACTCTGAAACAGGGTAAGTCGGGGATTTAAGTGTCGTTCAGGCAAACGAATTGTTAACCGATCCATCGTCTAGTCGCTTGGTTCTGTCTCGAGAAAGATTAGGATGTCGTGATGGCATCGGGTTGCATCGCGTTATTGATGGAAGAAGCATCAGAAGTGCGAACGTTAATGCCGCTCGATGGGGATTTCAGGCGACCCTCGAGGGAACAGAGGCTGCTAACGAAGGACGTGGCACTGAAGCGAAATTCAACCAGGAACTCAAGTTAGTAGCATTGCTACTCGTACTCGTAAATTACCTTAGATTTGCGCAAGCTGGGTCTTTGTTCGCGATTTCTATCGCTTGTTAAAGTTAATATGATGAGTTAATATAACGAGTTAATATAATATAAGAGCGAGTAGTAGACGAATATGTAACGAATGGGGGAAAGATTATTTTTCTTATCGTGTATCATTCGTAACTTTAAAATAAATGTGTTCCAAAGGGGGTAGAAATACTAACTGTTAGACTAGTTTATTAATTTTTTAGATACTTTAAACACCCTATCAATTATTAATTTTTATCGCGGTCCTCGACGAACGCCACATTCCATGGAAGCGTAAATGCTTGAAAATGCTGGATTTTTATCGACTAGCTGCGACGACCTTATCGCGATGGAGATTAGTATAATGAAAGTAACGTCAATAATAGACGGTATTTATGGAGCATGATTTCATGATAGAGATATTCTTTCATCGTGTAACCTACGCGTTTGCACTAATACGTGGGAGTCGCTTCGCAGCGTTCCATCAAAGTCGTTATCAAGTACGCCGATAAACAATTTACTTCGTGAAACTGAACAAATACTAGCAAATTATGACATATTTGCACTGTAGAGTTAACCCTGAAATGCGTCAAGTTTCAATTTTGATATCGGACTCGTATGTTTTCTTTTTTATTAAATTGTTAATAACGGCGAAGTTGAAGATTCGTTCGTTCGCATGGCTGATCTAGAAAGCGCGAGAAAGCAATCGTTTTGGCTAGTTCCCTCTGTCGTCGCATTCCCAGCATCCCGTTAGGAGTATCGTAACGGTAAAAGCAACCGGTAGATCCTCGCATCGATCCTCGAGACGCGAACCAAGATTGCATCGCATTCGTCTATGGATTTCTATACGCCCCTTGGACGTTCGAACGATAAATCTTTCAATTGTGAATTTCAACCGTAACATGGTAAAAGGAAATTCTATTTTTTCTGCATGTAATTTAACAACAATCTATTAACTGTATTCAGTTGTCGATAGGACGGTGTTCCTCGCGCTGAAGTTTATCAACGTATCAATAAGTCTGATCCGATGGTTAAGTATCGTTAAATAAAGTACGGTAAATCAGTGCGCAATTGAAAACAGGTTGGGAGAATTTATATTCCGCCGTATTTGGTCGTATCGGTTCGTTCACCTTGCACTGTCTAGAAAAACGGTAATACGCAGCTGTTGCATCATTATTCCTGCAAGATCATCGGCCTTTCTCCCCTGTTGTGTAATAATACGATACGTCTAAACTATACCGAATCGATAGGACACGATTCGTTCGAATTAATCTTTGATCCTGTACCCTCCAGAGAGTTATCCTCGCCGGTGACCATTCTAATTCAGTGTAATATAGTAATATTTCTAATTTAGGAACACGGCTCGACGCATTTATCTAGAAACGACGATTAAATATTTCTACTCGAACTAAAGTTGTAAACGATCGAATACAAAGGGACAGAATTGATTTCTTTTTGTTTGATACGAAAAGCAATGGTCGACAAACAGAATGAATGAATCAGGAGAGGAAGCAGGAAGCAGCAGGTGGAGTCGACGGTCAGGAACAGGGAGACACGCGTCAGCGGTCACATGTTTCCCAACGAAATTCGACCGTAAAAAACGAAACAGAAAGGCACCCTTACGACGAGTTTCCAGGCACGTGCATTTCTGCCTCTCAGTGCCGACGCTGGAATACGAAACTAGGTAAGCACACTTGAATCATTTTGCTTGCTTGGTTTAACACACCGTACTCATTTTTGTACGCGCGGACTGAAATAGAGCACACTGGGCGTTCGATTCCACTGCGTCTACAACATTCGATTCAAGCACGTCTACTCCACAGTATTACAAAGTCTTTGGACACCATTTTCTGCAATTACGTATTTTCTATACCGAAAGATATAGGTTTTCGACTTCCAAATATACCTTCTTTCCTTCTATTAACACGTTGTGACTGCGAAGCTAAAACTCGCGAAAATTCTGTCTCGCCTGTGAAATTAATTTTTTTAGACAACCAACGTGTTAACAACTAAAATCGTTCGTTAAGGTATCTCGGAGCAGTTTATCGAACGTTCCACGATTCCCACCGTTTTTCCAACCGCGTCGAGGGTTCGCTTCGATACCGTCTACGAGTCTAGACACTCTTTACGTGGCGCTGGTCGGTTTAGTCACCTCGAGAAAGTAAGAGCCGCCTATCTGTCGTCATGGTCAACGAACTCCGGCTACTTCACCTTCTGCGAATGTACTCATTACGCATTACGTCCACGCGTTGCGTAGCCGCTGTGTAATTAGACGTTACGTTTACGCCTGTTTTGCAACTTCGTTCGATCAGCTACTCGAAGGAAGAATCCCCTGGAATCGACGCGAACGAAACGCGACGCTGTCATCGAGGAAACTCGAGGGGATGAGCGTCGTAATACGTTCGTGTCGCGCGAAATTCCAAAGGATTTGTACAAGTTCGCACAGTTTGGTTCAACGACACTCGTACGCTCCAGCGATCGGCCGAGAATACCGTGGGAGAGTCCAAGTTATTAACCCCTTGCACTCGACAACAGTTTCATTACAGAGAGCTAATCATTTCGACGACTAAACATTCTTCTACCATAAATAAAATACTTTACTACTACTTCCAAGCGTACCTGTTCACAGCTTAGGAGTCTATTAAGGAAATCTAAGATATAATAACCCCTTTCGGCGTCTAGATGCAGCGAATATTATTTCTTGTTGCGCGCAAGCTTTCGCGAGTTACGACAAACTCTTCGCGCGAAGATTCGAACAGCAGAGGAACGACGCATGTCGAAAACACGAAGTATGGGAGCTCCAACAACGTGTTTACAACGGAGATTACATTAGAATGACGCGTTGGCACCTCTGACCATGAAAGCGCGGTCGACGACCCGTGGACTCCGTGGACGAAGAAAAAAGAAAAAATGAAAAAAAAAAGAAAAACGAAGAAAAAATAATAACAGGTTCGAAGAAAAGGGAAATCTCGATACTGAAAATACGAGACACGTATCTCGGGATCTACGGAGTATTCGTACGTTTCGTTTCTACTTCCACTGCGTGACAAATGTATTCCGAAAGTTTGCTTTCTAGGAAATTAAACTCGACTCGAGCGGTGTCCACGTGTATGTACAGCAACTAAAAACATAGAATCGCAAAGGATAAAATATTGAGTGTAGAAGTACATTCTGCGCCTTTATATTTGTTACCGTTTTGTTGCGTAGCTTATGACAACCCTGGATGCTACCGACTGCGTCTAATCTGATTTACTTTTTCCTCTGATACGCGTTTCCGTTGCAATAATAAAGTCTCTGTCTGTGTTGGATTACATTTTTAACGAGCAAATGAAAGAAATAAAATAGAAGAAATGGTTCGATCAGTGTTCTTTTCTTGTGGCTACGAATGGAATAAATGCAGAGCAACGCGCATGACTGATTCGTTAGTGCCATCGTGTACGGTGGTATCATCGTTTCGCAGACCGTTTAATATTAATTGGAACAACCTTCGCGCGATCAGCGTCATCAACCGCTTTCAGCTATTAGATTGAATCGTGGGATGTGATTTCGAGCGTACGGTGACATACTGCTCTATTTCGTCGCACATGAACGTGCACACGGACGTGCACACTAAGAGAGAAAGGAAGAGGGACCTGCTCTATTTAAGCTACTATCTACGCGTACAAACAGCAGCCACTCGAGAATTTACTCGTTTTCGTGTGTGTGCCGTTTCACTAAGCAACGTTGAGAAACTAACTCAAGCGACAAGAATGTTATTCTATCGCAGAGAATCCATCAAAAATGGTTCTTTTAGTAATATTATATATTGAATTACGAGCTTTATTATATCACATAATTTATTGACTCAAAGTCCAACCACGTTTTCTTAAATAATAATACCGCGAGCCTCGATTCTCTATCACGTTTAGTTTGTACGTCACATTCGTTACAAACCCGATATTATCATACTTCAAACGAAGGTAACTTCTGAATTAAACGTGACAGAGAATTACGGTTAGCAGCATCGTTTTTCTCTAAATTAATCGAGCTAACATACATGTACCGAAAGATTAGGCTTGAGAACCACCGCGTTATGTGACACCTACTTCTGCATTCAGAACTGAACAGTCGGTACGAAAGCATCCGAGGGAGATCCAGTCGATAAAGTCGTCCGTTGTACAGTTCATTTGCATATCCGGAAGGTCCTCGCGTCGCGTCGTCCGGTTCGCATAGTCGAGATAATTGCAACCGGCGACCGAGACTGCGTTACGTAATCGCGGAAAAAGGATCGTTCGTCCCCATATAGGCGAGCCCATATCGTGAGACGAGAATCGTGTTGCAAGTGACTCATGCGAACGCGATCGCTCGACCGAGGATCCAGGGGAATCGTTAGCCTCGGCTCTCTGTCACGATTAAGGACACACGTCGCCGTTTTGCTCCGTAATTAATTCGTCAGCTGATCGAAACCGACCTCGTTAACATCTCGCGCGCGTGCAACAAGAAACAACGATCCTCTTTACGCTTAAGGTAGTTGTTCCGTGAATTTATTTAATCATGGATCTTTTTAACGAAACTTGGCTCGATTGCTCTTTGATCGAATATAAATCACACGAGCTGGTTTCGATTTAAATTGGCTATTCGTTTGATGAAAAACCGTATCAAGATTTTGTAATTTTAACACGGATAAAACAGCGCCGATCCGAAAGCTGATAAAGCCAGACACTCGTCAGACTAATTACACGGGTTCTCTCGGTGCAACTTGAATGTACACGTGATCAAACAAAAGAGAATTTTATAACGTAGAGGCAGGTGAGATTGAAAAAGAAAAAAAAAAAAAAAGAAAAAAGACTCATTGTTTTTAAATGAGCGTCTCGCAACACGCATCCTCGGACGTCGTCGGTAGACGAACCCGAACGAGCTTTCATCACGCACGAGGAGACCGGGATTTTCTTCTTGTCTTTCCGCGGTTATCAGATACACGAAGAGGGAACGACGGCGCATACGATTCACACGCTAATTCACGCTGGATCGTCTGCCTTCGCGCACCTGTACATCTTTCGTTCCACTCTCCTAATCCGGTTCCATTCGTAGCAAAAATATCGCAACATTTACATCCTCGGCGAAACAATAACACAATACCACGCGATTGTTTGGCTGCTCCCCCCCCCCCTCCTCCTCCCCCCCCTCCTCCTCCTCCTCCCCCTCCTTCATACTGTATGTCTCACGAAACTGTAAAGCATTATTTTATACTCGAATTTCTGAAGGAGACACCAAACCATAATGTATCCGATACGAAGACTAATATTCTGATGTAAATATTTCGATGACTCTAGCTGACATAACCTAGTAAGATTGCATATCGGTGACGTCGCAACGATCGACGTGTAACGCTTTCAATAACGCGATAAAAGCGTTACTATTTTTATTATGGAAAAACGCATAAGAAAGATACGATGCGTATTCTTATACCGGGCACCAATGCGTAATGACCGTTGATTTGGATAATACCGATCGTGTAACGCATCGCACGCACGCGTTGAATTAATTGATGGACGATTGTCAATGAAATAATGGTAAACAGTAGCGGTGTGTCGTAAATAGAGGCTCCCGTTCGCGTTTAACTGGTAAACGAAGCGTAATAATACGGCTAATTGATACTTGTACCCCAATTACAAACAAGATCTAATTAGAAATAATTCTCCCGCGAGATAAACGATGGAAAATAAAGTCGTTTAGATGTTAACGTAGAACTGTAACGAAACGCACTATGAGAAGAGAATTCTGGTCACCTTTGATTTTAAGACGTTGTCGATTCCTTGTTTGGAGGGAACTTTTCGCGATACAAGGAACTGGTGTATATCGTGTTCTCTTAACCCGATTAGCGCGAGGAACAGTTAGTAGCGATTAAGACGTGAAAAGTCGTTGGGAGGTTATGTCTGTCACCGTGGCTTCGCACAAGAAAGTTCTTAATTATTCTAGAATGAAAGAACGAGTTTTCCATTTTTTATCTATTTTTTTCCATTGTTCGATAAAATGTCCGAGAAAGATTACATCGAAAATGAGAAACGTACGTTTATTAAGAAATACACGCGTGTGCTGTAGGAGACAATACCATCATTATCACTTTCGTTATTCGGCCAATTACGAAGAACTGAAACGGTATAAAGTACATATAGGAATTAGCGTATGATATTTTGTGACGCGACGTCTTTGTTTCGAAACGAGAATTACAAAAAAAAAATACAGTTATCAAGGAAGGATACAAAGGAAAAACGAGATGACATTCTCGTCTTCTCTAAATATAAAAGTAGAAATCAAATCACGTTCGGAGATGACACTTATCACGTCTGGGACAGGTGAATAAATAACAGCAATAACGATAACGCGAATGTAACGGCTCGGTGGACGAAACATATGTTGCTAAGTTTCTATCTCTCGGTAACCTTCTCTCCGACCTTTTCCACCAGCAATGAATAAATTTCGAATTCTAGATAAAAGTTTCCAGTAATGCATAAAAGATGACCGACAGTTTATCCAAAGTTCGAGCAAAAATTAGAATGAAAATAATAGTAGAATCGATATAATGAAATATTTCACAGCTGGCCAATCGAGGGAACGCCACGAATAAATCGCTACACGGTTATTTGTCCTACTCAGCTGTCGTTCGAATAAAATATTACCCACCACTGCTACTCTCTTGTATTGCCTACGCGAAAACGTAAACAGGTACATACACACGTCAACGCGTTGCGAGCGACCAGTCGCATTATCGTCCAATCAAACGTTTCCAAACCGATATACATACACAGAGCAAAACAATCAAAACGTTCATTTCTTTTGCGATCACACACCACAATAACGTTCTACGATCGAAGCGTACTAGAACGTCATCGTTACTCTATATGTAATTTATTTAATATTACCAAACCGAGTGTCACCTTCCTGAATTGCATAATAGCTTCCACGATAACCGGTATGCGTCGAAGCAACCACGCAAGATGGATAAAATTCTATTCAAATGGTAAACGACCTGTCGCAAACATCCTAAAACAGCGATTCGATCTCAATATTTGTTTCGCCGAACAGTTTCCCAAATTCGGCACCATAATAAATTATAATTTCTATCGAATAGCTAATCAAAAGTTGTTTTATCCCTTACACTCTACTCCAAACTTTTATCTAGACGAAAATATCACTGCATCGTCGAATTATCAACGCAGAAATTCGCAATCTCTCTTTCTCCCAAGAAAATTGCAAACGAAAAACTGGAAACATTTTTCCAAGACAGCTCCAAAACCTACACCACAAGATGTGGACAACAACAAAGAAAACCACTAACACTCGGAGAACGTCCTGTAAAGAAACGTTAGGCTCTTTTAAAGGAGTACGCGAGTACGATGGAGAAGGAACAGGTGCACGCGAAGCAAAACCGAGAGACGCGTGCGTGTGTAGGAGAACAAAGTTACTCACCGATTTGAAAGCTACTGCCACGACACAATCGGCACGGAGTCCGACGCACGACTGGCACTTCGCGGCGCGTCGTGTCTGTAAGATCGGCAACGATCGGCAGATCTCGCGAGTTTTCGGGTATGCCACGCGGCAAGTGGTGATCGCGCGGCAAATCGCACGCTGGCAGAATTTTGGCGCGATTATTACTGAAACAACAGGTGGTAATGAATTTGAAAAGTGACACATTGTAAACGTGCTTGCGCGAATTTACTTTCTCATCTGTTTGCACTCCAAGCAATCGATAGATGGTTAGATTTCTGATTTTTTAAATCGCACGACTCTTTTTTTCTAAAACGTGCCGATACTATTTACGATTATTTGGTAATTGAAATTGGACGTAAATACATATACGATAGTTTGTAAAATTTGATCTGCAATCGTGGTTATGTATTCAGGAGTATTTGAATTTTCAATTGGTTACTCGAAGTATATTCTTAACGCAAGGACAGGTAGATAACGATGCGAGCATGCTTATCATCATATTAATGGTTTCAATAATAAGTTACAGAGTAGCACTATAGCGACAAGGTACCGACATCTACGCCAACTAGTATATCGAACTGCTGTCGATAAGACAACACCTTCTTTACTGAATCTCGATAAAGGTGTGTTTGTTTTTATCCTGAATATGTTAAAAATACGATAAATTAATACATGTGCGTTAACTTATAGCAGATCCTCGTTTTAAATTAGCACTGTACAAAATGTACAGACGATTATCACGAGTTAAGGTTCGCAAATTTAACAAACTACGCACAGTTCATCAACCCCCAAGAACTTGAAACGTTGAGGCATAACCGGTATGCTTCTTAATATGTAAAAAATTAATACCCCATTTTATGACGACATAAAGGCTTCGTAGCCATTTCCTCGGACAAAGCACCCGTAAATATGCGCATAGATCGTTGCGTTCGCTAAATTTGTTCTGGATCGTTGTTATCGGTATTTCTTCCGCCTTGGATTCCATGGAAAAATAACTTTCCCCGACATTTCATTGTTCCGAGAATCGAACACTGGCAAACTTCATAACTTTTGACAGTTGTCGATAATTTTAATCTACATTAGGATTAGGTCTCGATTAATCGAGATTAATTGACAATGTTCCCAAGAAAAATTGAGTTTCACGACGATATAATACCTTCTCGCCACGTTATCGCAACATCCAAGGAATCGCTTCCATCCTTGGCATTTCGTTGAATTCTTCCTCGTTGATCCTTCATCTCCCAACACCTTCAGCAAACACGATTCACCTAATAAACACGCGCATATTTCCGTTTCCTTCTCCTCTCTTTTGTAACACACGCGTATTGTTCTTAGCGATGGATTGAGAATTCTCGTGGGACCCTCGTGACATTTTGCAACAACGAAACTGGAGGAATGCATTCCAAAGGAACGGAGGGGAAAATCTGAAAACACCGAACCAGCCCAATAACAGTAACATTGGATACTGGCTATCACCTTTGTCAGCAACATCCTTCTTCCAACTTTCTAATTGGTTCAACCGTGACTCATTACTCTCCGTGGTTAACGATCAGCGAGGAAATGACAATTGAATGCTCGACCAGGAGAAGCGTTTCAATACCTCTGCGAATTCCCGAGGAAGCTCGAATCAAGTGTAACGGCGAATCAATTGGCCACTCGGAGCCACT